CCAACGCAAATTCTCGCCAGCTAAAAGCCGAGAGAAAAACTCATACCCTCTGCCGGCTGTTCACGCGGCTCGCGAGAAGCAAGACCCGAAGGGTCAAGCCCCCGCTTTTTCTCCTCTTACTCTTCTTGAAAATCAGAATCAGAAAACAGAATCAGAATGAACTCTAGCCTGGTGCAAGCACCCAGGAAAACTCGGTTTCTCCGCCTCTGTGAGTTCATAGGCTTTCAAAAAAATCATAAAATTATATCTTACCAATCCCGGAATTTTAAGTTATCTAAATTGAGAAAATGACACACCCATGACGAATCAAACACCAGAAAATCTGACAATGCAATCCGAAAAACATCTGCACTCATAACGTGAGAAAAAAAATAGACCCCCCAACTAACAAGTGAAACTAAGCTTCTACGAAAATCCAATTACCAGCCACCCCCACTGTCTTGAAGTAATAAAACTGCAAACTTTACAAAGCGACAAGGAAACAACTTCCGTTTCACACGCATGAGCTAAAAGGGCGACATTGTTAGTGAAAAGGCCATAACCAGATGTGTGTCCTCGCAACCGTCTCTCGCCTTTGTTACAAATCCTATTCAAGAACAACAAGTTAAACAACACCTTAAGAGCCTAAGAATACTTCTTTTTCCAGATTAAAATACACATGAATACAAATAAAAATATTAGAATAATAATAATATAAAACACATATTAATAATTTAAATTCGCTACATAACATTACCAAAGAACGAAATTATCTCTTGCAAAGCTTACTGTCAATTACAACAAAATTAAAAGATACTTTGCAACAGAAACATTCAAAAGTTATGGATTATAATCGTATTGTGTTCTACCAATGACAATTCCAAACTACATGGATCTCTAATCATTCGCCAGAAACTGCTGGAACTTACTTGGGATATGTTACCGCATCCACCCCATATTCCAGACTTTGGACCATCAAACTGCGATTGTGTTTCGTACTTTGAAAAAGTCTTGCCAAATGAAACCTTCATTTCACATAATTATTAATTATCGCTTGAAAAATGTTTTTGTAGAATCAAGATTACAGCTTTCTTTTAAAGTGAAATCATGAAATGGGTTGAATGATGTCAAATGGTTGCAGAATAAAATAGTTAATACATTACTCGCTTAAGTTATTTGTTCATGTAAATTTGTTTTTTAAATTTTAATTAAAAATAAACAAAAGTAGTTTCTGGGAAATTAAATAAGTGGATGGTATTAATAATGTTATATAAATAGGAATGCATTTTTAGAGTATTTATACTGCACATTTGATGATTCTTGTTTTAGAATACTGTTAGCTTCGTATGAAAATCGCATTTTAAAACTAGTCAAACATTCAAAATAGCAGAATAAACAGCAGTCGCCGAAAGCTGTGCTAGAAACTTTTTGAACGCAGCATTTTTAGGCTTAGTATGGAATCAAATAAGGCGAAAAGGTAAAAAGGGCAACTATAGGCATTCCCAAAATTCTGAAATTTCCAAATATAAAATTTACATGTGCCACCGTACTATTGTATATGAGTGTAAAAAATGTAGCAACTAAAATAAAAGTAAGTTAATTTGTACGTTTATTCTATAAAAGAAAGAATTAAAATCCCGGCAATAGGAAATAAACTATATTTTCTTCTTTAATCATTCATTGCCTTCTTTATCGTAACTTAGAGGGCAGTTGCAGAAATGAAATAAATTATTGTGCGGTAAAAATAGTCAGATCTTTGAGACTTATATTTTTGAGAGAATTTTAAACTGTCGTGTTGTGTAAAATATCATCTTCGGTTGATCGTTTGCAAACAAAATCTAATTTGTTTTTACAATAAATATAAATGTTTGTAATATAAAATTTTGGATTATATTTTATTTGGAATAACTGGCCGTGTGTTAAAACTGGTTTTTCTAAATTTATGCCAACATAACAATATGTTTGTTCTGGGTCTGGCGTCTACCTGGAGAACGTCTCCTGCCAGAATGCGTTGTGTCAACAGTTAAGTTCGGTGGAGGTGGAATTATGGTCTGGGGGTGTTTCTTTTGGTATAGGCTGGGACCTTTGGTCCCCATTCATGGTAAGCTAACCTCCGATGCCTACTGCACTATTTTGGATGACAATTTTTGGATATTGTTATATATAATATATATATAATATATAATTTTTGGAATACTGCTATTTTGGATGACTATTTTGGATGACAATGTGCTTCCTATTTTGGATACTGTTTTGGATGGTTCCTACGTTGGCAGTTTTACGGGTTGGACCCCTGTTATTTTCAGGACGGCAATGCCAGTTGTCATGTTTGGACGTTAACCAAGGCTTGGTATGGTGCCAATGGAGTTCATTGAATGGACTGGCCTGCCCAGAGTCCAGACCGGAACCCTATCGAGAACCTCTGGCACGAGTTGCATCGCCGAATTCAGGGGTGCACTACCCGTGCAAAATCGGTGAAGGAACTTCTATGTCTTCTCCAAGCCGAGTGGAAGAAAATACCACTAGCTGTTATACAAAGATTTGTGGAAAGTATGCCTCGGAGGGTCCACGCTGTAATTACCTTTTGTGGAGGCTCTACTAACTATTGATTTTGAATAGTTTTCTTTTCTATCACAGGTGTCCAAATACTTATTATTAGTCAGTGTATTTGTTTTTAATTAAAATAATTAAGTTTTATTATATATTTAAAGTAAATACGTTGAAGTAAATACCATAAATTAATTTTCTTTGATGTTATTTATACAGTATCTACAAATCTAAATGCATTTTGGTCTTTACGTACATCTTGCGACAGTTAAGTATCCAGTTCTCTTCCGTTCTTCAAAATCTTGGGCATACGCAACATATCCACTTCAGTACTCTTATTTACCGTAAACCTTCATCTGTTTGCCTTCCACTATACTTCAAATTATATAATTCATGTCATTCGACTAAACAGAAGTCAGTTTCATTTTATTCCTTCGTTTTCCGTGCCCTTCAGTTTTGTTCTTTCAAATCGGCTGATGATCAAGAACTAAATTACTTAAGCGCAGTTGCTATTAACAGAGGCTTTTCACATAATATTATTGATGAAACGATTAAAACATTCTCATCTCAACCCATCAGAAAGTTCCCTCTCAGTTTAGAAGATTATAAGAATCCTACTGCCATTCCTTTCTTTCCATCGATTAGCTATAAAACTACACGTATTCTACAGAAATTCAACTTTCCGGTCTTTTTCCTTCTGTCAATAAAATTCGCACTTCCATACTTAAGGACCCCATTTCGGATACGAACTCCTGGGGTATAAACATAAATCTTTGCCAATGTGGTTTAATTTAGACTGGCCAAATTAAGAAAGCCTTAAAATTTCGAGCAATGGAACATGAGACGTGTGTTAGGAGAAAAAGGAACACATAAAGCCCCCACTGCTCAATACTGTTGGTCAGAAAAGGACATTTTCCATTTATCTGCAGCCCAAATTATTAAAAAAAAAATAAATTTTTAGCCAATTAGGTTTTCTAGGGACGTTTCACATTCATAAAATTCTTTCAATTATAGTTAACGAACTCAGTTTCAATCCCTCTTTACCCTCAGCTTTTAGAAAAATTATTTGGTAGTTGTTTTCATTTTTCGTTAAATGGTGCCAATCGCTTGACTTCCCTCCTCTCATTCCTGTCGCCTTGTCCTATCGCTGGCTTCTCTTTTGTCATTTGCACTCCTGCAGCTGAAGAAGTAGGTTCTATATTTAAACCTTCGAAACTTGTCCTCCAAATTTATGAATTCTATGCTGTTTATTGTTGCTTCAACAGTTACAATGATTATTATTCGGCGAGTTATTTTAACTCAAATTTATTCTTGTTTTATACTTTTATGCCTAAGCGGCAGAAATCCCAGCTGACATCACAGCACTCCACAGAACGGTAAAATTGTAGTCAATATGGCACAATATTGAAAGCAATACTCTTGCACCCATAAATTTGCAACCCCATACAGCGGTTCACAGTTAACATATGTTGGAATGACATTTCAAATGTGTAGAGCACAGTCTTGGAATGAAGCCATCTCGCGGGAGCGTTTAGTTAGTCTACTTTTGCATTATTTTCGATATAGCCTCCATGGATTAATACCTCACAGTAACATCAGACCGGGTTAAGACTGTTATACGCCCTAAGCGCTTAAAAGATTTTGGTACATAAAATCAAGTCAATTTTTCTTCGTTTTCTCTTTCTCTCTCTCTGTCTTGATTTAGCTGCATCATACATTCCACGGTAAAATTGGCAATGAGAAATTTTTGTGATGCCCTTTTTCCTGAGTCCCTATGTACCTTTTTGTGCCTCCCCTTCTGCTTGATGCCCTAAGCAAGTGCTTATTCAGCTTACTGGTTAATCCATTTCTAAATAGCCTGTTTATAAGAAAACTAACATCTTTTTCTCCTTTACCATTAAATGTGGTTTTTAAATAATCAAAAGAAGTATTTCCATGCATTTTTTAACTTCCATCCATTCCTCGGCAAAACGCACTAGACAGGTATACTTAATTTGCTTTACTAACATGAGAAGGCTTTATAAAGTATTTTCTCTCTCTTTCCAGCATGCCTTCGTGGTGTAACGCTAGCGCACTCGGCACGTAATCGACAAGTTAGAGTCTCCCGGCGATGGCACTGAACATTTTTCATGTTTCTTCTTTCAAAACAACTTAATGACTCTACAAATGGCCCTCGAACTAAAAGGTGATGGACAATAATTCATCCCTATCTGGATTTCCGCGAACGAGGCCTTTAATCCCTAGTTGCCTTTTAAAAAGGGGGAGTATAAAAGGTATTTTCTCCCTCCTTTTCCAGCATGCCTTCGCGGTGTAACGATAATACACTCGGCGCGTATTTGAGAGGTCGAATCCCAGCGAGGGCCTTGCACATTTGTTTCCTGCTTCAAAAATTTTGTTTCCTGCTTCAAAATAACCTAATAACTGTATAACGTTTTTGTAGAATGGTATTTTTGTATTGATAAGAAATGAACTCACCAAAGCTAGTTCGTCTGTCTGTGGTTTCTTCCGAGGATCGATAATGTTGGAACCATCATCCACTATTTCACCATCCACGCACTGGTAAAAGGGTACACACACACAGTCTTCAGTCGGTACGCCTGGCTCCGAATAGTCTAGTTCATAATCATCCTGGCAGCTGACTAAAGTGATTATAAGAAGCAAGAAAATGCTCCTCATCGTTACGAAATGTGCGAAACTGAAAGAAAATATTTAGTGGATCAATTGACATAAATTTAATAAACTCTGTATCTTATCGCCAAACAAGGAATAATGTAAAAGATTAATTTCTAGGAGATAAATATTCAAATTCACAATTGTTGATGAAGAAACGGTAAATTTTAACCGCCCAGGCACTCCTCTGTAAAATAAACAAGAGCCAGGGAGCAGTTCTCCGTTTATCAGTACATTGAATTAAAATAAAGATAAGATGAGACAACTTAGAACACAGCATTTACCTTTCTGTCCATGTAAAATTTTTAAATGGGTCAATTTCTTACAGGTAAGCGCAAGAAAAGTGTAATTTTGCTTTTGAAAAAGATACCAATGGTAAAGCAGATTTACCTATGAAACGAAAGAAAACAAGCAATTGAATTCAACATAAAATGCGATAGAAGTAATATTTTTTAAATAAACGGGAACATTCAAACTTTATTTGAAGTTAATTTTGACTGAAGAAAGGTCATTGCGTCTTAAGGAGCGCAGCTGGCCAACTGTTCATTAAATGCAAAAATGTTGTGCAAGTATAATGAACAACGTTAAAATGAAGCAAGAGACATCAAGCTTGAGGAGAGAAGCAAAAATATTGAGTATTGAAATTAGAATAATTAACAAAGAAGAAATATTTTGATGAAGACAACATGGAAATCTAAATCGCCTTTTGAGAAAGTAGTTTAGATATTGCACTCAGAAAGATATTTTAATGAACGCCAAAAGACAAAAAATGGGATCATGGAATATTTAATAAATTATGTTTTTCAGGCATAAGATTAATGTTTTTCAATGAGAATAGTTTAATTTAAATTAACAAATCTCCCACTAATAACCACTGTTGGTCTCTCTGTTATTTATTTAAATTTGCTCCTGTTAAAAATTTTAACATAACATGAATGCTTTCAATTCGTGTCGCATTTAATTAACAGTTTTGATTCCAATTTTTATAGTAAAATAGCATGTTAGCACTTTATATTCATTAATTTGTTTTCCCCTTTTTGCTACAGTAGTCGGATAAAGTCTTTTTGCTACAGTAGATGGATAAAGACTTTTCGGATAAAGTCAGTGTCTTCGTCCTATCGTGTTTGCGTTGATGCACACGAAAAGAGGAAATTGTTTCCTCTGATAACAGTTGACTTGATCTGTCCCTTGAATGTGTCCCTTGTGTCTTTTTAAGTGAAATTAACATGAGAAAATATATTTTGTCATTTATTAAAATTGACAAGCATTTCTCACATTTTTTACATAAAAATTTGTATAATTATGTCGTAAGAAGAAGGAAAGTATAGGTATGTCGTAGTTCTCTTTAGAGTCTCTTAAGGAGGAGAAAAGTGTGCAATAAAATAATATATAATTTTCTAAAATAATTAATATTCGAAAAAGAAAAAAATATATCGAAACAGTATTTGGTATAATTAACCAAGATTAGGAAAGTAATTTTTGAAAGTAAGTTAGATGGTAATTTCAAACTATGAAACCAGAAAATTTAAGGTCTTCGAATTCTTTTAATGCAAAGCATTTTTAGTTGTCCTATTAAATCGACCATGTGTAATATTGAAAATTGTTAATTCCGTATTTCTATAAAAATCTTCGCTTACAGTTATAATTTTACTTCTTTTAAAGGCAACCGATATTGATAATATTCAGCTTTATTCACTTAAAACGGGAGGGGGGGGGAATTTGAAATCTTTCAAATTTTATATAACAGTCCAAAGGGGCGTTTTCTTAACTTTTCGTGTGTTACCTTTATTTATTTAATATCATGTTCTTCGCACTTAAACTATAAAATTCAATTCAACTGCAATATCGCAAAATAATTATAAAATGAGCATACCTTTAGAATTTCCAATACACAGTTTCGCGCGCTGGAGATAATGGTTTTTTTTTTCCCTCGTACAGTGTTGCCATTCTTTGCTTTGAAATCGTTGAGACTGTTAATCAAAATTTCTTTAATGTCTGACAAAATATGAAATAGTTAATAAAATAAATTCCAAATTAGAGCTTCCAGATGCCCATATTCGGTGGAGGATGACATTATCCAAAATTTATGGCTCTAGGTACCGTTGTTTTATCACAATGCAGGAAATATCCATACATTCATGCAGTTTCTTCATTATTTAATTTCTTTAAATATAATACAGGGCTTTAATATTTGGTGGCAACAGTTTGAAAAGTGAATCAAAGTGCCAAAACGAAATTAATAGTCCTTCTAGGTTAACGCCCTTTGGGTTAAAAAAAAAGAATACACTTGTGGCGTTTCATTTAAGTTTTATGAACAGTTAAGATTTTGATTCTTTCCTTTATGCCTAATGCCTTTCACTCAGCCCAAAGAATTATGCAGATTTTAGGGCAAATGGAGTATTTTAAATTGAGAGGAAGAATCGTAACCGGCACGACTTAGGCTGTTTGCCTCCGGCTTTAGCTTGCCTGTCTGAGAGGAAGCAGCTGATTAAATTAAACATTAACGTCACACATTCGGTATGGGTTTGGTAAGTGTTGATCATTAATAGAATTTGTCCGATCAAGTTGGTATTGTAGCTTTACGTAGGATCTCTAGAGTTCTAGCCAGGTAATTTATTACAAATTTCCAGCTAGCAGCTTTACTCAAGGAGACTTACATTTTGTGTAGTATTACTTTAACTCATCAGCGGTGAGGGGAAAAGGTCATCTTTTACCTTTTGTATAATCTCTTGTTGCCACAGTTAGTTTCAGCAAAGAGCGATAACTTGCCATCACATCGTAACTTTCGAGGGAGAATTGTTGGTAAACATAATTAATTAGCTAGTAAATCACCCCTTCATCATTATTCACTAATGTTCAAAATTAAGCAATAAAAGAAACATATTCGGCGAAAGAAATAAGCATAGCTATAAAGTTTTCATACATAACAGGTACAGGTTAAAGCAAGACCGCACCTATGCATCCATCTAGGTATATTAGGTTATGCCAGGTCTTGCTGACTAGCTTCCGCCCCGGGTGGAATTCTGAGGAAGAACACTCGGCAGGCGATCGGAGGATTTCTCACTCCTCTTTCCCTCTCACCAAACTCTCGAGAGAATTTCAGCTCGCCGTGTATTTTGAGAGCCACCTTACCCCACAGACATTGTACGCTTTCAAAAATGCTTTCTTGGTAATTCGAACCCGGGCCCTTCGTTACGGCAATCAGTGACACTAACCACTATCCCGTATGAGCGGCTTGCATTCGTAGAAGAAGTATGTGAGCATAAACTAAACTGCAGAAAAAAAAAATGCATACCATCATATTCAAGGAAATTTGTTATGTATAAAAACGGTCTGCATTCTGCACAATCTGAATCTGTGCTTTACGCACTTCAGAAGGAAAATCGAACTAACGAAATTTTGAATAATGAGTAAATGACATCAGCGGAATGACGCCAGGCATTGGGAAATAATAGGATATCTCGAAAGAGGTGAAGAATAGTCGAAAGCAGCGAACGTCTTAAATATTAGTCCCATTTTGGGGGAACTAGTATCAAAGCGAAGCAATTGTGTCGCGAATACCAGTTGGTGGAGGTACAAGGGTCACAAACATTCAAGATGAGTGCTTTCTAGTCTGTCGGCATAGCTACAGGTCAGAAACTGTATATTAACTTAATTTTAACCTCGCAGCGTCGTCAAGAGCTGGATTCTTTGAAAATTCTTTACAGCTATCTACATGAATATCATCTGCAGGAAAGACATTGGTTTGTATTCTTATGATACCCTCGCGCAAATGGTCCTTTTACACTAATCTCGAGATCATCTTAATTGTATTTTACCCAGGAGAGTACTTGAAATGCTATGGATGAATCATGGTTTAGCATACAGAGTAATTCCCGACGGTTATCGGACTGGAGAATGCCTATAGTTCATTATCACGCTAGTAAGATCAGCGAAATGCACACATACAGAGGCAGTGGTTTAATGGTTTGGGTAGAGATTAGCATCTTTTGTCGGAATGATCTTCCCATCTTCTGACGCACTGCTGTGACTGTAATATAATATATAAATTTATATTCTTGCTCACGGCCAGAGTCTAAAAGCCACATTTTTATCAGTTACAAGTAATGTGAAAAAAAAAATTAAGTGAATTCCTAATTAGGTCAGCAAAGAAAAAATTTATTTTTGTTACTTTTTATTAACATTTTTCGTTTTTAATTTATGAAGCTGATGGTGGTCCATAATTTCTCATTCTATTCATCTCTTGTAACGGTTCATTATTGCAAAGAGCCTTTCCAGTGAGTTTCGAGCAGTCCAGTTCTTTAATTAATATTTCATCTAATGATTTTACACAATTCAGTGATACATACACTGATTTCCTTTCTCTAATCGTCGCTTGCCTTGTGTTGTAGTTTCTTTTCGCCTTCTCCGTTTGTAAAGAAAGGGACATTTTAAAGTACATTTTAAACATATATTATTATCACGTTAACATAGAAATATGGGGAGAATTTTCGCTACATAATGGGACATTACATCCGCTTCCTCCAGCTCTATAAAACTACAATTCTTTAATTCGATACACTTTAAAAATCTTTAGAACTCTGTCTTACTGTTGCCACTTATTTTTGTTAAATATTACAATCTCATTTATCACAGTCATGTACTATTATTTATAAGATGTTATAAAATTAATTTTAACAGCACATGTGAATTCCTAATAAACGGTCATTATTTGTAATTAAAAAACAGCATATCTTTAGTTCCTATAAACAGGAATAAATAAGTAGGAATTGACTTTAATATGTGAAAAAGCTGTATTTTACTACCAGTTTAAAAAAATGTATTTGAACTTGAGTGGATGCATAAAAAGTATTTTATTAACGATTGAAAATTTGAACAAGGTATAGGGACAGTGGGAGCTAATAGTAGGAATTTAATAATGCGCGAGTTCCTGGGGTTCTCACTGTCGGTCAGTATTTGAGAAAAATTGCTTCATAGTGGAACGGTCATTGAGATCACCCGACTGAATCGTAATAAGCACACATG